TACTGGGATGTAGTAATAACAATAATAGTAATTTAATAATAATAATAATAATAATAATAATAATAATAATAATAATAATAATAATAATAATAATAATAATAATGTCAGCAACAAAAGGACTTTGTAAGTGTGGGTGACTTCGGGAAGCAGAGTCTCTATGCAAATGCTCCATTATGGTATCTGTAGATCAACCCACAGCATTTCACACCGTCATCCTGAGTTTAATCAAAGTGATGTATCTGTGCATATAGATGTATGTAAATTAATTAATTTTTTAAACAGGTAGATTGGTGTTACCTTAGAGCCTTCAGGCTTGCTTGGTGGCAGTCCTTGGCTGCAGTTTCCTCCCTGAGCACTTAGTCTCTAGGCTGCATTTGCATTGCCTTTTTTTCTTCTACCCTGGCTTCTTACCTCTCTGAGGGGACATCTCCCACCCAAGCCAGAGCAGTCTTCATCTCACCTTTATGGTGTCAGAAGTTTTAAGCCTAATTTTTTTTTCCCCACTTCTGATTTAAGCTTACAGTATTAGGCAGCCTAGTGCTCCAAGCCCAAACCTAGGGCAGTGCCTGAGTCCAAGCTCCAGTGCTGGTACTTCCATCTATAACATTGGCATAGCCAACAAAGCAGCATTACTGCCTGGTCGTTTCCTTGCAATGCATATTGTATCCATTTTTATAGTTTCTTTTATACTTTCAACAGTCTTTATAACAGCAATAATGTCATTCAGATAATTATACTGTAATTGACCTTAGCGTTGAGCATCCTTGGCTTTTACTGCAGTTTGCTTAATACTTCAGTATGGTCAATTATCTTGTAATTCCCACTTTGTTGGGAATTATTGTTTTAATTATTCCACTCCAAATACATCATTTTGGCATAGTAGTAAGGGTACACTGGGGAATGGTCATAGTCGTGAATGCTTTAAAGAGTTACCAGCTTTAACATGTAGGAAGGCTTTTCATCTTGTCATCTCTAGTCATTACTTTTAACACTGATTTCATTTAATTATCACTTAGTATGCTCAGGCCAGGTCTTATTTGAAGAAGTCAGCATATGGGGAGCTGGGGCTTGCAGCTGGATGGCTGTACAGTTTGATTTATGATTTCCACACTGATTTCTGCCACATTACAGTGTGAGCTATCTATGTTGATGCAGCTAAATTCCAGTGGAAGGTAGGGGTAAAACTGATTTTTTTTTTTTCCCCCTAACAATTTGAGCTATTAATTATCCCAAACAGAGAGTGAATATACTGGTGAGAATTTTATGGCTGCTTAGGAGGCATGTGCGGCTCTCTTGATACTGATTTAATTTACACCTGTATGGCACTGATACTCCACCAGGAGTGCCCTGATGGTGTTGGAGAGAAAACAGCATGGACCTTCTGGTGGGAGACCATTTCAGTTAGCATTGTGCTCAGCACTGCCCAAAACAGAGACGAATCATAGCATGCTGTGCTCTGTAGCCTAGTGCAAAAAATAATCTGGGTCCAGCACTAGAAAGACACTGTTCCACTTTAAGCAAATTATGTGAACATGTCAATGTACTTGGCCTTTCTATAAATGTGTATGTTCATTGTTTTTTGTCAGCATTTTGTGGTGTATTTACCATGAATAAAAATGTTTGACCAAAGCAGAGGATGAAAAACTGGTATGTTTTGCTCAAACACAAACTAAGTGTAACCAATTTGCACCAAAGAGTATTTTTCCCTGTGTCTGATACAATTATTACATGTGAGCAAACACAGCATTGTTTAGTAGGAAAGTGCTACTCTTCTAGTAGATTAATGCATTTTATTGAAAAAAAAAAAAAACAGCAGTGTAAAAAGGCTTCATTTCTCTATAAATTTTAATAGTTACTAAAATAAGGACTCTGGCCCATTAAGTTACAGCCTGCCAAGTCATAGTGCTGAATCACTTCATTTCTCTAAGTAACTATCCTATTCCAGCTTCTTAAAGGCAGCTGTTAGGAGAGCACTGATGTTTTAATCAAGGAACAGAGCAGAGTCTGTCAGCTGAACAGTGTATTTTAATGAGGTTTTCTTCCACAGTCTGCAAATCTAAGGACCTCTCTTGGAGTTTGTGGGCTTGCACACTCAGGAACCAGAGTGTGGGTGGGTAGAGGATTATTTACAGGAATCTGATGTCAGTAGAAACTGTGAGGACACTGTTACACCTCAGTATTTCTCAATGAAGGTAGGTCCTTATTAGTGCTTATAGACTGAAAAGCTGTTATGAACAGTAGAGGGAATTCAGTATGAGTAATGCTGTTACCTGTCACACAGTGAACACAGTAGGCGTTAGGTCCGTAGGAAGACCATAGACCACAGCTCATTGTCTGTGTATGTGGCATATCTTTATCACTTAGCATAAGAGAGAAGCTTAGATCTGTCAGCAAAAGTACCAGAGATCTATCCCATGAAGTCACTGATCTTTATGTGGCAGGTGCATTTCATGTTGAAGGGAAAAGAAGGCAGTTCTGCAGGGGTATTGGTAGTCTGGCTCTGTGCAAGGAAAGGGGTGTGACAGTTAAAAGTAGAAGTGTTTAGATTTGTTCTCTAGCAATTGACTCATGAGGCAAAATAATGTCAGTCCTAGTACTTTGGCCTAATTTCAGATTGGGAAATGAGGTTCTGCCTGCTGTCAGTAGATGAGTTGTCTCCATTTTTTCTGCTAATGTCAGGTGAGAATACTGCAGGAGGATCTTTTCATATTGATATAAGGTCAGATCCATCAAGCAATAAAACCATTAAGCAGTGTGCATTGCCCCAATGCCCAATGTGGTGCTCATCCTTTAATGTGCTAGTGATAATTAGCTACTTTATCTTTCTAGTAGGGATTTTCAATTTATTACTTTATTAAGTAGTGAAACTAAAGATTAAAATGGTATCTATAGCACATAGCTAACCAGATTGTGAAAAATTGAACTGTATGGTTTCAAATTTATGAAAATAAATATTTCTATTTAAATAAGTGCAGTAGTTTAGTACTTTAGACACCACTTTAATTTGTAGTTTATTGATGATTATTTTTCTTCGTTTTAAAGCAAATTGCTTTCTGTAGGGTGAAGTTGAGAAATAATGAATTGAATTCACATTACAATCTACTGCCTTCCAAACTGTAAATGAATATAAATGTAATAGGAGCTTAATATAAAAATCTTTTTCAAAAAGCTATGCTATATCATTGCAGAAACAAATACATTTTTCAAGTCATCAGTTCATTTAATGTTGTGTTTCTACTTGGCCTTTATTTTAAGGACTTCTGTACCCTGGCACTGCTTTCTCCAAATGTCTTAACATGTGTTGTCTCTTCAGAGCAATAAATAACTTTGTTAGTTTGCATTATTTGCTATGAGCATTGATTAATGATCTGCTTTAAACTAAATTAGTATTTTAAGATGTATTTGCACAGTATGGGAAAGACATAGACTGTGCCTTCAACACTAGCTTTGTTCTAAAATTTTTATTTCCCCTCAGTCTTCTTAGAGAGTAATTAACAATTACCAGTCAAAAATATGGAAGATTTTTGCAAATTCTACCACTCATTAATCTGAGCTGCTATTCTCAAGAACTGAAAATTTCAACAAAATAGAGAGGAAGACCTGCGTGTTCCAATAGGTAGTAATACTCTCTAATGTGACTTGGACAATAACCACAACTTAATTTCTGTGGTTAAGTGTTCATAATCCTTACTAGAAGCTTGTGATATAATAAGGAAAAGAAGAAATTCTGTAATAGTGATGGAACAGAAGTTATTCAGTGTAAATGCTAATTTCTTGATTTGTATTCATGTTAATAGCTGCACTGAAAACCCCAAAACCAAATTGCTACGTTGTACAGTTTTATTTGGAACAACAGCTGTCCATCATGCACGGGCGGAAACAACCCCAAACAAGTGTTTCTGGATAAATGGGAGACTCTAAAGTCCATCAGTCAGGAATTCTTTGGTTGTTCCTCACCACCCCAGTGAAAAAGGAGGACAGAGATGGAAACAGTCAGCAGGATTTCAGCTGACAATTATTTTCATCTTCATTGCTGTCATTTCCAATTCTGCAAAAAGCCTGAACACATCCTTACTTATGTACGCTCAGCTACTGACTTCAGAGTGAGATAAAGTTTAGTGCATGCTTAAATGCTTTCTTGAACTAGGGCCAAAAGCTGCTGCTGCTACTAAAATCGGTCCCAGAGGGAACGTTGCATCTTTCATTGCTTCCTTTTTTGTATACGAAGATACAGGCTCCACAAAGCTTTGGAAATATGGTAGAATTTGATAAATGTTGCCTGCCTTGTTTAACGGAGTAGAGTGGAGTTGTTGGATGATAGTGCATAAAGTACACGTTATCTTCCTTTCTCTCCTGTCCATATGTATGCTCTTTAGCAATCATTACTAGGTGAGAACTGCAGAATAGCAAGAGAATCATTGAGCCAGTGTGTGTTTTGTTTCTGTCTGCTGCAGGCGTAGCCTGTAATTGTAAAAGGCAGCAAAATAGAATGAGTTTAGGTATTTTTCCCTGTTCTTGCCTGCTTCAAAACTGTTCAGAAGCTTGCTTATTTCTTTGGTAGAAATCTTCATTCAAATGTTTGCTGAAGTGTGACTTGCCTTGAGCCTCTTTGTTCTTTTCGATTTGCACAGGCAAACACACACACATGTGCAAATACACACCCCTCTTCTGGGTGACTATTGACTTAACCCTGCATATTTGTAGAGGAAACAAACCAAAACAAGACCAGTGCACAGTATTCATAAAATTCATCCCACTGGCAGTGCAGATAGCCACTATAACCTGTCAGTTGATCCCCTGTTTCTGTCTCTTGCAATACATTGCAGTTCTTGATACGAGGCACTTGCTGGGTCGCTGTCTCTGGTTAAAACCCGATGTTCTGTCTGTGAGAACAGCTCCGGATCATACTATCAGTATAAGATGTATTGAAGGGTAGTGACAAATGAACCACTGTTGTGAATGAGAGCCTCATGATGTTTTCTTCTCTTTTTGGACTACAGAGCTCTTCTGTATCTCCCTCAGCCAGTTTCAGAACAGCAGAAAAGCACAGAAATTCAACAGATTATTCTTCAGATAGTAAAAAACAGAAAACAGAAGAGAAGGAAATAGCAGCTCGTTATGTGAGTAGATTGTCTACATTGTGCATTGTTGAACTTCAGTGTTCCTCTGTAATTTCACCTGATTTCTGCTGCATAACTAATTTTAAAATGAGGGTCAAATTTTAACTATTTTTTGCTGCCTACCTCTAGTATCTCTGCTGGGTTAAATATTTTGGTGCATATGAATCATGCTGTTTCTAACAATGTAAATACAAAGCACCTGGAAGTTGTATGACAGTAGCACTGGGCTTTAGTTAGGCTGGGACTTGTTACTATCTTGACTCCAGTTCATAGTGCAGTGTCCACTTTGAATGAAGATTTTCATCCCATATCCTCCACCAATGCGAAAACTGGCAAGAAAACTGGCTATAGTTGTGGCAACCTGCTAAGCAGAAGTCTTAGAGGTGACCGAAATACTTTAATTGTATTACCACAGAAAGTTTGGTAAAAGTGAATGGTACAGTGCAGATTTGTGAGCAGCCATCCTCTGTTTTCATAGTTATTGATCCCAATGTCTCTTTAATTAATTAATTAATTCAATTTTTTTAACACATTGTGATTTGTCATTGCAGGACAGCGATGGTGAAAAGAGTGATGACAACTTGGTAGTTGATGTTTCCAATGAGGTACACACAATGGTGTTTTTTTCTACCTTACAGAAATTGTGATGAGGGTATCTTCAGTGGTGTCTGTGCATATTGGTTTTATGAACATGATTATGGCATATGCCTTCATAAAGGAACTAGAAATGCCTGAGGGAATCCAGTAGTATCCTCTTTCTTTAGAATGCAAATCAGATCTGAAACATTTACTTCTACAAAGTACTTCTTGTTTCTCCTTTGAACAAAAAGTTCTATTGAGATATTTGAAGCCAGCCCAGCACAACAGAGGGGGTGCAGCTTGTAAGAGTGTCTGTCTTTTCTTTCACTTTGGCCATGACTTCATGTGTGAACCTTATCAGGTCTGCCAAATGCATTAAATCTTTTTAATCTATCACTTGAAAAAAGATATTTACTTGCATATTTCAATATCCATCGATTTTTGGCATTATTTTTCATGGTTTAATGGCATCAAATTTTAAGAGTTCTTTAAAAAAAACAAATTGTCCTTCATTATCTTTCTCAATTTTACAATTGTATCAGCTAAATCAATTAAGAATGGAAAGAATATGCCACTTCCTGTGACAGATCTTCATTCCAATTTGAGGACTGCTCAAGACAAGAACTAGTGGCTAGTATGAAGTATTTATGCTAACCCATATTCCTGATATTTAGGATCCTTCTTCTCCCCGTGGGAGCCCTGCCCACTCTCCACGGGAAAATGGCTTGGACAAGACTCGACTGCTGAAAAAAGATGCACCAATTAGTCCAGCATCTATTGCATCCTCTAGCAGTACTCCTTCCTCCAAATCCAAAGAACTTAGCCTTGTAAGTGCTACAAAATGCTTTTGACCCCTAATCACAGGCTGAAATATATGCTTACTGGATTTCTGTCTGGAGACAGTTCGTATTTCCACAGCTGTCAATAAAACAAAGCCTACATTTAATATTAATTTAATTTATCTTTTCAAGAGAGTCTAGTGAAAGAATAGAAAGTCCACAGTCTTTATTTGGGATGGGAAGAGGTTATTTTCACTGGTGTTGTGAGTAGATGATAGATGTGGTATTCTGAGAGATATTTTTCTCCTCCCCCATATGAAGAACTGTTATTCTGAGAATAAATAAAAGTACACAGGGGTTTCTTGAGCTGTTTTCCTGTGCTGTGGTTTACAGCAAATTCAGTTCCCTGCTTGGATGTGATTTTGTTGTTAGCTTTGTTTGAATTACCAGGCTATATACAACAACAATAATTTTTATTTTCTATCTAAAAAGTAATCTGTCATTTACAAGAGCCTTCCTTGACTTGCATCGCAAATCATAATGCAAAAGAAAAGAGCTGCCTGCAAGGGGTGTTCTTTCCTTTCTTGTTTGTGGCCACAGTTAATCACCTACCTGAGCTGCACAGTAATTCCCCTCTCGGTTCTTCACAGGGCAGGGTATGCAATTATTTAAAGAAATAAAATAAATAAAAAGAAGGCTTAAAGTGAATGTAGTGCTCAGGAAAGGTGATGGAATGACAGGTTCAGACCTGGGAATCAGTGGTGTGTCTGATGAACAAGCCTGTCACAAGAGCAGCACTGCACAGTTCCTGACTTTATGCCTGTCACTGTCTTCATCCTGTGTTTCTAGCACCACACTTGGCTTTGAGAACTTGGTCAGTTCAGAGATGTTTTTTCTGCTCCTCTTGTCCATCCCTCACAGAAAATTATAATGGGAGCAGGTCCATGAGCATAGTGAGACCACTGACAGACTTCACATATGCTTCCAATTGTCAGAGGGCAATGATTTTCAGTCATTTACCTCATTCTGAATCATACAGATTCTCCTGATGAGAAAAGCTGTGAAGGCTGTACTTAATTACCAAAGCTGTTCTGTCTTTTTCAGTGTCTTTGCATCTTCTCTTCATTGCCAGGGACTGTTGAAACCCAAACCTAGGAGCTAAATATCACTAATATCACTAATCACTAGCTATAAAGAGAAAATAGTTTACAAGCTGTCTTCCTTTTTCCTTCTTGTGATTAGAATGAGAAATCTACCACTCCTGTGTCTAAATCAAATACCCCAACTCCACGGACTGATGCCCCAACTCCAGGCAGCAATTCCACTCCCGGACTGAGGCCAGTGCCTGGCAAACCCCCAGGTGTGGACCCGATAGGTTAGTGTCCATATATCTTGGTGGTGTGAAACAGTTACAATTTGTCTTTTGTCAGGCTCCCTTTAAATCTGTAATGGCAAGTCAGTATGTTACAAATGCTTAAACTGGGTGCTGAGCTGGTTCTTTAGCACTGTAATACAGTGTTGTGTGTCTTTCCTTGGCTGGCTGGCTGGTTGGTTTGGGTTATTTGTGGGGTTTTTTGCAGTTTTCCAAACTCATGTTTCATATGATGGCTCTAGAATGCCTCTGTGACTTCTCACTTCTGCCTCTCTTCTTACAGCTTCAGGTTTAAGGACACCAATGGCAGTACCATGTCCTTATCCTACTCCGTTCGGGATTGTGCCACATGCTGGTATGAACGGGGAGCTGACCAGCCCTGGAGCTGCCTATGCTGGCCTACACAATATTTCCCCTCAAATGAGTGCAGCAGCTGCAGCAGCAGCAGCAGCAGCAGCCTATGGGCGATCTCCAGTGGTAAGTGTTTGCTGTTAGTGCATTTAGTTTTGAGATCTGTTTCTATTAAATATAAGACCCGTGGGGTTAACTCTAGTTCACTCATTTTGTGGTTTGGGGAGTGTGCTATGGAGAACATGAATTAAACAGTCTTCTTTGCCTAACTCTTACTTTAATACACCTTTTTGTTTTGCTTGGGGAAAACTATAGGTTGGTTTTGATCCACATCATCACATGCGAGTCCCAGGCATCCCTCCTAATCTCACAGGCATCCCAGGAGGAAAACCGTGAGTATCAAACATTCAGCCTTAAAAGTCAATCATCTGTTGGAAGTCATTGCTGGTTGGAATTCCCCTTAGCTACTGAAAACTACTGTGTGAGTAGAAATAAGTATAGCTATTCAGCAGGAGCAGGAGAATCACTGTGTAGTCTTAAAGTTGCATTTATAAATTTGTTTTGAAGACTAATAGAAGTTGACATAGACTGGGTGATACAAAGTAAAGGAGACAGAAATAAATGGAAAAAGGAGATGAACTTCAAATCTGACTGGTTGGTTGTTTATGGAAATACAAGCTGGAATAGGATCTCAGTTTTCCATCTCTACTGTACTCTGCTTCTCATTTAAAAAAAAATATTTCTTTGTTCACAAAAGCCTTGCAATTACTTGCAAGCTTAGCAGCTGTGTGCAGGAAAAGGAATACTGGAACGTTTTGTTTGATTGAAAATACTGGAAAGAATTATTTTATGATAATACTCAGATTCATTCTTGATGGAACTGACCTGTGTAATGCGACCTGCTTTACCAGGCTTTTTGTGTTGTGAGCCTTGGAAGAAAAATTACAGAGACAAAGAACTCTATGCTCATATGCCTCTTAAGGTATAGAGGGGGAAAACTAAACTATACAAACCGGGATCGTATTGATCCAGATTTTCTTTAAGGTTCATCCAGTCCCACTGCCTTGTGACACTTCTGTGAGGCTGTGACCAGTTCATGATGTAAAGTTTGATGATCAAGCAGTATTTGTGCCAGTCCTCTCCAGCTCTTTTATGTGTGAACGTGTTTGTGTAGGAGTGGTTGGGGTTAGTCACACACTTGGATTTGTGTCAGTAAATGCCTGTGCTTACCTGCCAGTGAGCTTGCAGGCACACAGGGTTAACAATACTGTGACAGGTGATCAGCCTAGTGCCCGTAACTCCTCGTGTACACTCATCACACAAACCATGAGCCACGTCCAGATCTCTCAGGCATCACACACTGGGTAACTACATTAATTTACTTTTCTGCTAGTTGTACCACCCTGTTAGGTGAATGCATAAGGCAGGTGTGGAAGTTGATGTACAGCAGCTTGCAGACCAGCTGCTTGCATTAAAAATTCTGTGGGGCACAGATCTTCATCCATTATATACAGTGGGCTCTAAGAAATGTCTTGATGTAATGTTCAAATGCTCACTGGATTTAAGTTCATCCCTGATGGAGTCGGTCACCTGGAAAGAAGTGTCTCTGGATCTACTAAGGCTTTGCCTGCTGTGGTGAGAGTAATGGCAATGGCAGGGCTTCAGAGACCTCTGTGCTCACATCTTACTTCTGTTAAAATTGAGAGAAATAAAACATGAGGCAAACTGAAATCAAATCACTTCAATTCTGGTATATCTCCACGATTTATAAATGTTGTTGCTCTGTTGATGTCTATTTTAAACATTTAAATATAACAGTAATTTTTCTACCAGAGGGCTTGAAACTTCTGTGATTCTTTTAAGCATAATTGTATTGACTTTTCTTCATCTTAAGTGTGATAGTTGTCACATGTTCCCGAATTGTTATTTTTTCATTTACTCCTTTTTTTGCCTTATAGGGAAATTTGTGTAAGTTCTCTGCACAGTTGAGTGTCCTGAAATGGACTGGGCAGCATATGGTACATTTGGGATCTGGCACTTAATGATAATCTTTTCACTTTGGTATTGTATCAACTGTTTCAATTGTATCAATTGAGTATTGAACAGTATATAAATACTGAAAGATAGTATATAAATAGGAAAGACAGCTAATGCATTTTGTCCTACTGAAAATTATTGATCTAAATGTTAATGCATTATGAATCTTAAATGACAAATTCAGTAGTTCAATTGTGAATACTGCCTTCTTTAGTCACTTTGAATTATCAATTAAGGAAGTGAACTTACAAAATATTCTCACAAAACAGTTTCTTTGTGAGCTCTTCTCATCCTACCATTGTGACAATGGATTTTTTGCGAGCATTATGAGGATTTTTTAGGTCTAAGAAAATTAAAGCCTTCCATTAAGCAAGCCTTGGTATGTATAGGTGAACCCTCTTAAAAATTTTGTGCTCTTGTAATAGATGTGATGTATCAGATAGCATCTCAGAACAAGGCAATTTCACAACCTAACTGTTCTCCCTGGAAAATGCTTTGAGATAAAACTGTTGATAGGTTATTCACAGGTGGCATAAGTGGCAATCACAGAACAGATTCTTTCTCAGTGAGAGGCCTGATTTTGGCAAGAGAAATTGGGATCTGTAGCAGTTGTGTTGAGTCCACAAAAAAACAAAAAACAAAAACCCAAAACAACCCACAAAACAAAAAATTCCGTTGCAGTGCATTTTAGCTGGTCTGTCATGTCAGCTGTCAGCAACTGTGCCTTGAGGATTTAACTCCTCCGTGGTGGTGGAGGCTTCGCTGCACCCTTAGGTACAGTGCTGAGCACTGAGTTTTGCTTAAGGGGCCTGGGACCCACGGTGCATTTGGGAAAGTTTGGCAGCAGTCCAGCTGAAGCTGCCACACAAGAGTCAGTAAAGCGAGCAGCCAAATTGTCCCCTGGCACACAGCTACCCACCATGCTCTAGCAGCAGCCAGCCAACTATTTCTGTCTTCCAGGGGCCCTGACCCAACCTTCCTTCCCTTCTCTGAATGCAGTGATATCCCCATCCAAAATTAAGAGTGGTGTTATATAGCCTCACTCATGCCAGAAACCATCATAATGGGAGTTGTAACAGCTGATTTGATTGGTGCTTGACTTTTCACATTTAAAGCTGAGCACCTATGTTTGTGCTTTGAGAGCCATGCACAAAAATAAATGTTTTTCCTTACATGATTAAAATACCTGATACCTCAACTCCCAGTGGAGTGGAGCGTGGTGTTAATGTGGTGGTTATGTGTTCAGTCTCCTATGGCCATTCACTTAAGGGTCCGACTCGATCACTGAGGGTCCCTTCCAGCTCAGAATATTCTGTGAAATATCTATGGAAAAAATGCAGCTGGGGACACAACCTGAATGCCTGCAGGGGAAGCACATCTTTGATTCTGTTTTCCTAAACAGACTTGAAGTAAAACTCTTTAAATCATCCCTTTAATTTTCTTTCCCCTCAGAGCCTACTCCTTTCATGTAAGTGCAGATGGCCAGATGCAGCCAGTTCCTTTCCCTCCTGATGCCCTCATCGGTCCAGGAATCCCTCGCCATGCCCGTCAGATCAACACCCTGAACCACGGGGAAGTTGTGTGTGCAGTTACCATCAGCAACCCCACGAGACACGTGTACACGGGTGGGAAGGGGTGTGTCAAGGTTTGGGACATCAGCCACCCTGGCAACAAGAGCCCTGTCTCTCAGCTGGACTGCCTGGTAGGTGAACAGCAGCATGCGACACTGAAAGAAGATAGGACGTTGTGTTAAGATTGCAGTGATACCACTGAGGTGTAAAGGGCAAGTGGGTATTGGTTTCTGTCCTGGTGTCACAGGCTGGTATTGCATTTGTAGTTTTGTTATTTCTACTGGAGCTGAGGTTGAAATATGTTCCTCACCATACTTGTGGGTTTTTCCCCTCCACGAAGAATCAAAACATTTTTAATATCCTAAAATCATGGTAGGAGGAAAGATCAAAGGCAGCACAGCAAATACTGTTTATAAACTTTGACATTTGCTGGCAATCTTACAGCTTGTTGATACCCTATCATTCTAAAAATTGCTGTCTTGCACCTGTATTCTCTAAGAATATTTGGAGATTGTGTCACGTATTTTGTGTCTGTGTATGTGTATGAATGCATTGACCTGTCTTAATGTGGCAATTAAAAATATCCCTGAGTGTTATGCCCAAATTATTTGAATGTGCTGACAAGATGAACTATTGTTAGCAGCTTTTCTCTTGTCATTTACCAGTTCTTGGGAAGGTAATGCTGCTTGTTACAGAGGCAGTAAAATGAGAACTGTGCAGCACATGTAGACTTACAATGAATTGCTACACAAGTTGCTACACAAATGAGGAAAATTGCCCAAATATTTTCCTCTGACATCCCCTGTATGGTGGCAGCAAGTCTCACTGGAATGGGAAGGGGGAAAGTGTGCAGGGAATTTGGTACTCCCCCGTGCTGAGAGGTTAATGTGCTGAAATAAACAGAGTATGAAAATACAACTTTCTACACCAGCTGTCAAATTCAGCTATCTTGAATTGTTTTGGGCTGGGTTCAGGTCCTTGCTTTTTGATGCTAATTAAGATTAAATATCTCTCACTGCTGAATTTTGTAGATCAAGTTGAAGTACTTCCCTAATGTCATGTAATTTTCTGGCATTAATACACTTTATCATTGTCATAAGTATAAATGGCTCATTAAAACCAGGAGGGAATACAATACTTTTATGGATTTCTGCTCTCATGTTAATGCTGTTTTCTTTCCTCATGAGTAATCTCTTGATGGCTTCTGTCTCCACAGAACAGAGACAACTACATCCGTTCCTGCAGATTGCTCCCTGACGGCCGCACCCTGATTGTTGGTGGGGAAGCCAGCACATTATCCATTTGGGACCTGGCAGCTCCAACTCCTCGCATCAAAGCTGAGCTGACATCTTCTGCTCCAGCTTGCTATGCCCTAGCTATCAGCCCTGATTCCAAGGTCTGCTTCTCTTGCTGTAGCGATGGCAACATTGCAGTGTGGGATCTGCATAACCAGACTTTAGTAAGGTAGGCCGACCAAACTGGATCATCAGGTTGTGAAGAATTATTTAGACACAGCCACATGCACTTTTGCTTATATATTCTGTTTTCTCCATGCATGGATGCTTCCAGTATTTTGTTGTTCAGCATAGCCATGGTAATACCTTGACAAAAATCTGTATGATTATTTATAGGTTTTGAGAGTTTTCATCATTCCAGGTCTTTTGATCAGCCCATAACTATAGTTCCCTAAATATCAGCTGATGTCAATACTGCTGTAGATTCCTTGAACAGATGATTTTCTTTGTTTCCATGCAATACTCTGCTCTCACTCTAATCTCTTTAATCAGAGATCCAGCAAATATGTCTTGGGTAAAGGTATGTGTAAATTACTGCATTGCAGGCTTAGCCTTTCAGGAGTATTGGCTGGTGCTCAACACTGATAAGACAGTAAGCAGTAAGCTAAGAGCTGGTCACACAGAGCCTCTCTGTGCACTGTACTGTGTATATGTTGTTACATGTAATACCAGTGTTGCAGGTGAAGTCAAGCTTTTACTACCTGTACTACCTGATATTACCATTTAGACTACATTTTGGTGAGGTTTTTTGTTTGATTGGTTTTTGGTTTTTTGTGTTTTGTTTTGGTTTTTTGTTTGTTTGTTTGTTTGGGTTTTTTGTTTGTTTGGGTTTTTTGGGGTTTTTTTTTGTTTTGTTTTGTTTTGTTTTTGTTTTTAACTTCAGTCACCTACACTTTTCTTAAACTAAGGTAATTTTGCTTTTCATGCTACTGTCTTTTGGGGGGAATGACTATTTTAAGTTGAGTAGTGGGTATCACACATCCATCAGCAAAGATTTCCAGAGTTACCTGACTCTTTAGAGTGTTCTTTTTGAAATCACATTGGCTGTCTGGCCTGATTGCATCATCAATTCATCACAAAGCTCACATGATTGTCCCAGAGTTTCTATTAATCTGGGATTGCTATTGGAATCTAAGTTACAGCTGAGGGACTGGAAGAAGGTATTTTGCATTATTGCTCAGAATGTGCTGATCTTCTTTTAATACTTTCAGGCAATTTCAGGGCCACACAGATGGAGCAAGCTGTATTGACATTTCTAATGACGGCACCAAATTATGGACAGGAGGTCTGGACAACACAGTCAGATCCTGGGATCTCAGAGAAGGGAGACAGCTACAGCAACATGATTTCACATCACAGGTTTGGTCTCAAGACCTTTGACATGTTAACAAAATTTTCTCACAGTTTTTAAAAAGAAACATTTTCAATTTTTTTTTTCTTTATGAGCAAAAAAAGCAGCCTCAAAGAGAACTCCAAAGAATTTTTCACTTAAGTCTCATATTCCATACTCTCAATTTTTTTGTTTTTTTTTTTTCTTGTGGGAGTTAAATGTCTATCTGGATTATGACTGTTCGACAGATTAGTACCTCTCCCATGAGAGCAATGGAGAATCAGTTTTACAGAAGATTAAAATGTTCCTGTCTGCAATCTGTTGCCATTTCTGTAGATTCAAATTCAAAAATATTTTATGAAAATATTTTTAAATGCTGTCAGATAAGCTTGGACATTAACTTCTATAGTTTGATTCAGTACTTCACTATTGCGGTTTTAATGACATTTAATAGCATAGTTTTGCAGCTGTGTTTGCATGAACAAATTTATCTTGATTACTATAGTAATTGGATTATCATGTTTTTAACACTGCAGTAGACCTAAACTGTGAGTTTGCATAGTGCTAACAGTGTAGCAAGGGTCAGTTTTGAATGTCTCAAGCTCATTCCTTTACTGATTGAAGCATGTGCTGTGCTAATTGCAGATCTTCTCACTGGGCTATTGTCCAACTGGTGAGTGGTTGGCAGTAGGAATGGAGAACAGCAACGTTGAGGTGCTTCATGTTACTAAGCCAGACAAGTATCAGCTGCATCTTCATGAGAGCTGTGTGTTGTCACTCAAGTTTGCTCACTGTGGTAAGCCAATCTTTCCATATCAGTGTTTTCCTTCACAAAAAGTTAGTTCAAAGTTACCTTTAAATGAAAGTGCCATATAGTTATTGAACTACAGAGTATAGTTAAAAATTAGGTATTAAATTTAAGTATTAAGTTTACTTAAAAAAACACTATCTGACTGCATTTTTCTATGTACTGCTTATTTTGTGATGGAACATCATAGTGCAACTAGATGAAAATGTTACTGTTCTTTGGATATGTGTGAATGCTTTGTTGTTATGATCATCTGTTTCTTTTCAAGGTGTATTCCTTGAAAACAAAATGCAGCAATAACATTTAAACAATCTGTTACAGGCAAATGGTTTGTAAGCACTGGAAAAGATAATCTTCTTAATGCTTGGAGAACACCTTATGGAGCCAGTATATTCCAGGTAATAATCTCCTAAAAGCTATTTTTCACATACATTACAGTGCAGTAGAGCTGCACATCTTAGGGTCTGTCAGTAACCTAAGGAGTTTTCAGGTGGAAATGCAGCTAATTACAGTAGTCCTTAAAGAGTTTGTCTGTAATTAGAGAAAGAAATGCTTTTGTCCTTTCTACTGTTTCACTAATTCAACTCTTACAGTAAAGTAGCCAATCCAAAATTTAATCCAAAATTCTTCTTAATACCCTTCTTTCTCACCTTCTTCTGCATATTGGTGAAATACAGTGCCCAAGTCATGTTGTTAGGTGAACCAGCCACTGAAGGTCCAAAATGGAGCTAAACCAGTGGAAGTCATATTCAACATGTGTATTTTTCTTGGATGAGATGTGTTGATGGACTGGAGAAGCAGACTCCCGAGCTGAAAACTGAAGTGATATGGAGGGGCCCACTGAAGTATAACTGGAAGCTTTAACCTATCTGTAGTCCTTCTGAGCCCAGTTTTAATGGCATTTCAGTGCCACTATAAAAGAGTGGGATTTTTGACATGCCTTTCCATGCTTTCACCTGCAGGCACCTCTAGGCTGAGAATTTTATTAAATTTAACTGTTTAACTGGCTCTAATTTAAATGACCAGTCTCATGTGTACTGATGCCTGCCATTATGATGCCTCCACTTTTAGAGACTGCAATTTACCTTGACATGAAAAAGATAGGGTCTAAGTTTTCCTAGTAGACTAAGTAACCAATCCCCCATTTCTAGAACCAGGCCCCACAGACAGCCCAAATCATCCTAACAATAGCACGTGACCCTTAAAAGTGATGTTTAAAACTCCAGTACAACTTTCTTACTGAGGGGTAAATAAGGAAAATTGTAGTGCTGTGAACAGAAGTGTCTTTGCCAAAACACAGCATGATTGGGAAGTGTTTAACTCCTGTGATAACAGGCAGAAAATTATGTAGACATATATTATGTAAAGAAAACATGCCCTGAAACAGCAAAGTAAACATGACAGTGCATACACTTCATCTTAGAACAGACAGCAAAGCCAGAAGAGCTACTGCATCCTGCTGTATCCTGTGTCCCATCCAGCTCCTACACACTTGTGTATCCTATTCTGCCACAGTTCCTAATTACATCCTCTGTGATAATATAAATTCCTTTGTGCAAAGCGTTTGTCTTCTTGTGTGGGGAAAGTCGTGAGAGGAGACACCATTATTTCTGTGGAGTCTCTTTGTTTCATACCTGTGGGTAGGTAGGGCTTTGAAGTGTTTCTCTGTGTGAATTTCTTGTTTACAACAAAAGAAGTGGGAAGAACATGACTTTTTCATTCATTTTAATGCAAATCAAATGCATAAAATATTAATAAATGCTCATTCTTTCTAAAGTATAAAGAAAGGACTACTTCTATTTGTTTGATTGGTAGATTACCTCTATGTCCATAATATTCACTTCCTTTCTACCATTGCTTTATTTTACAATAGATCTTTCTGTGGAACAAAAGTATTTAAAAAAAATTGCCACTATGGTACTGATACTTTAATGAGCTTTTCATGTATTCTCTATCTATAAATTCTTCAAATTAATCTTCAGACCCTTCAGGATTGAAGGATTGGAAAGATGTAATTTTTTTTTCCTTTTCTTTGTTTTGTTATAGTCCAAAGAATCCTCATCTGTGCTCAGCTGTGATATCTCTGTGGATGACAAATACATTGTCACTGGCTCTGGGGACAAGAAAGCTACAGTCTATGAAGTTATTTATTAGAGACAAATCTGAATGCAGACAGAACTCCTTCTCCTAGCACTTTGCTGTATATTCCTTTTATTGTTTTTTTTCTTTCTAAATTGAAAACTTAAACGCTCATCACAGTTGTAGAATTTATTTTTACCTTCTTAACTTGCTATTGATCTGTGAATATTCATTAAGAAGTTGTGATACCAAATTGTCAGATACCTACTTGGAAGAAGATGGAATAAGCATACTTAATGGTGACCTTGACTCTTTATGTATTATAGCTGTAATGTATTTATTTTGTTTAAAGAAGGCTTTCTAACAATGAACTGACTAAATAAAGCTGTCTGGCCCGGCTTTTGTTTGAAAGATTCATCATATACTTGTGTTTTTGTAGGTGGATAAATTGGGGATCTTGGAGAAGGATGTTCAGGAGATAGTTAAAATTACACTAAATAGACTTGTAGTTTCTATTTAAAAAAATAAACTTTGTTATATTTTTTAGTCCTGTTCATGGATGAGACCTCTAAGTGTTATTACAGTATAATTATTTGGTGGGAAGATGCTGTATCTTAACTATTTTAGACAGTCTTGGAAATTTAGGAAATTGCAAACTGTAGCCAGTGATCTACATGCCTGTGATGAATGGCAAATTCAATTCACATCTAAATTAAATTCACTTTAAGTAAGAATGTGCTGATTTATATATTTGCAATGTTAATATAGCATCTTGTGTACAGATTTGTTCTCAATGCTTTTCTGTTGATAAACATAAAGCATTTTGGTGTCAAGCTAGGTTTTTTAATATAAACACCTCTCTTTGTTATATTGTAGAGAGTACAATAAGTTGCCTCAAAGAATCACCTTTGTTACTTCTGGAAACTTTTGCAATGTTTCCTTGAAAATGGGGATATGTGTCTTTGGGCAATTTTTCAATTACAAGAGATTATGAAAAATATTTGATATGTTCTTTGGAAACTGCACTGAAATAAGAATGGATGCCTACCAATATACAAACTACAAAAGCAATGACCTCTGAGGTAGGATTTACAAGAGTACTCATTCCGACATACCAAAAGGAATGGATTCTCATTGGGATAAGGACTTGCTTTGTTCGCCAGCAGTTCAATCCAAGTCTTGATTGGATGTCCCTAAAACGGACGCAGACTGAGCCATTGTGCCAGAGACAACGTGTTATCTTTTTATGTTGTTGTTGTTGCTGTTAAACTATGATCTGTGACTTTTTTTTGTTTTTTGAATGCTTTAAAAAAAAATCTTTAAGTCTGTGGATCTGCTGATGTACAGTGCCTTTGCTGCTATGGATCAAAATCAAGAGACCCGTGTAGATAAATCTTATTGTATAAGTAGAAAATTACTTAATTTCATACTAGAAATGGATTGATGCTGCAAGTTAAAATGAACTGTTTATTGAAGTTCCAAATGTGGTAGCAAAAAATGGTGTCTTAAGTGCTTAGTGTTTGATGTCATTAACAGTTTCGTAATACTCTACATTGTAGAAAGATTTTGATACTAAACTGTGTCATTGTACATAGTTCTAATGCATTGTATTGACCACCAGTACTTCTATAATGGTAGATTATTGTTTGTGCATTCAGACTTTTAAGCATTAAACATAAGTAACTTCTAAGATTCATTTTTCTTGTTTTTTGCCTCCTCCCTCATTGTTCGTGTGTATGATAATCTGTTACACGTGCAGCCATTCAGTCACACAACATATTAGTACAGATACTTGTGGTTTTGCCACTGAAACACAGTGTAGAATTTCAGCTGAGATAGTGAAACCTATGAATTTATAGTTTCTCACATTACCGGACTTGCACTGATTCTGAGCACTTGGAGGCATCAGACTTCGCCTGTCACCTAAGAATTTGCCACTTCCCAGTTTTGTGGTTTCCCATCTGACATACCTGTATTATCCCATACCTTGGGAGAAAGTGAAGTTGAGGACCATTACTGCTCACATGCCCAGTGAGTATGTGGAGCTCAGCAGGATTTAGGAGGGGTGTTGCACTGCAGCATCACACCAGGGTTTCCTCATCCAGACCTAAAGTTTGTGCTCACGGACAGACTTCTCTCACTGACATTTGGGTTTAGATCAAGGATTTAGCCCAGCTTCTATGAACTTAATGAACACAAAGTGAGCTAGGGCAAATTAATTAATGCACTGCTGGAGAGGAGTGTCAGAGGGAGGAGTTATGCTGTCTGTAACAGGAAAAAAAGAAATGGGAAAAAATCCAAGGGAAAAATTGAATTTTGTTATTCTGTAACCCATTTTTTAAATGATGCTGTGCATGGTGGAAATCCCCAAGCATGCAAGCCTGTTGTGATATGCCAGCCTGTGGTGACTGCTGATATGTGAATCCAAGCTTAGAAATATTTTGGATTTTCTTGAAACGTCAGAATAAGACGTAAATTGATGAAGTAATTTACTTGTACTCTGAGTGATAACGTAATACTTGGAGGAGAGTGTAGAGGCAAGTTTCTCTCAGAGCTATCAGTTCCTTAGAGTTAACGGTGAAGAGTTTTCCAGATTTCTCCCAGAATAATGTAAGGTTTCATTTATACTAAGGTTCTATGCTATTTAATACAATAATGCTCCATAAAAGTAAACATGCTACAGACACCTTCTGTTAATTTTTTCTCTTACCTGAAGAAATAAAAATTTACTGGTTATAAACATATTGGAGACACCTTGTCTTTTCAAAGCTATTCAAAAATATAAAAGGCTAGGATTTACTAAAAAAAGAGAAACCACCTGCTTAACGTTTGGAGAGAATGTCATATTTTTATGTAGTAGTTCAGGTATGAGATTACTTAAAACATCTAAGATAAAGCATTTCTTTAAAAATAATAAAACATTGCATACACCTGAATTTGTAACAGAGTTAGTTTTGACAGCAAAGTAATATGCTTCTGAAGCAGCCTGCCATACATCTGCTTATTAACGTTTGTATTGATGGCTTGTAAACAGTGTCAGAATCAAATTCTTTAATCCAGAATTACTGCAGTTAAATGTGTAGTCATCCTGATTTTTCCTCCTTCAGGGCTGAGTGCAAGTGAGAGATGGTACAGAGCTACTTTCTGTTTTTCAGTTATGCATACATAGGGTCATCTTCCTTTCCTCATTCATTAGTTTTGTTTGCAACTGCACAGAACTATTTTGTGTAAAGTGTTTTGATGCAGATGTGTTTTGTGCCACAAACCTGTGGCAAACATACTCCAAATGCAAGGTACAACCATCTATTTCTCTGTATTCTTCCCTTTTCAAGTCTTATGTAGTACAGTGATTGATTAAGAAAGAAATTTCTTTTTAATTTTTATATATTTTCTGACTGGCCAGTATAAGTACATTTAAAGGGAACACTTCCTATCAAACCAATGTTTTTTAAATCAGGCAATTTTAAGTTACATTTCTCTGTTTTCAGCCAAAAGTGGTTTCTCTCTCCTATTTCTGAAGCTACTCCATTATATAAAAAAGAAAGATTTACTTTACCAGCCATGATTTTCATGTTCGAGGGATTTTAAGTCTGTACTGGAATAGTTCAAATTGGATTTTGTGTACTGCATTGAACTCTGGCACTTGAAGCACATATAAAGTTCCTTCTTCCTGAAATGTTGATAGGTTTGTGGGAGAAACAGAAAAGTAGCTGTGCAGGGCTACATATGATTGGACAATATTCTACAAAAACATGCTAGGTTCTTGGCACAAATAAATGCTTCTTCTGTTACTTCCGTATTTATTTCTGATCACTCCAACTGAAATCCTGATGTGACTAGCTTCTACTCAAGGATTTGTGTTGTGAAAGAAAATGAAAATAAAAATACAGAATAGAAATTAGAATATAGAATAGAATAGAATAGAATAGAATAGAATAGAATAGAATAGAATAGAATAGAATAGAATAGAATAGAATAGAATAGAATAGAATTTCTGTACATGCAAGAAATTCAAAGCAGAACTTGGGCTGCATTGTTTCTCATTTATGTTGAATAGACTACATGTTTGTGGCATGAAACTAAGATTGCACACAGCAATTCAAGAACACTTTAGAACGTCAAGTATGGCTACTGAGAAGAATGCCACTTGGAATTTTTCAGAGCAAATGCACTCTGAATAGCTCATCCAAAGTGCTGCTCTCACATGCTGTGTAGGAAGGTAGTTGTCTTCAGTACTGGAGAGCTTTTCTGATTCTAATGTTTTGCCAGTGACCACAGCAGTGTTGAAGAGAGTTGAGCAGTTTGGGCTAGATGTGCAGCCAGCCAGTTCTGCCATATATTTACATTAGAATCCCCTTCCCAGACATAGCAGGAGATGAATCCTGGAGTGGTGTGCTGTAGAAGATCGTCTCTGACAAGCTCTTAAATAATGCACCTGCCATGTCTGCTTTTGAACCAAGAGTTACTGAACATAGCCCTTGAGATTTCACGTTTCTTCCAGTATTTGGACTACAGCGTTTCCACTGCACAGCAAGAAATTTTTATGTCAAAACCAATAAATGTTCTTACTCTTACCAAATGATTTTCTGTCCCAGTTACAAGGAAACAGTATTATAGTGTCTTTTTTTATTATTAAAAATGGTGTAGTCTGACATTTACAACATGTCCATAAACCTGCCATGGAGTGCAAAGAAGTTCTTCTGTGGGGTCACTTTGATTCACATGGTTATGTTCTAAAACATTCCAGAAATAAATTTTTCCTTGTTTTGCGAGAGATTAACCTGTGATATCATATGCACAGTGTACAAATTAAGGGGAGGGACTGTCCAGTGGTTGGTTACTTCTGCATCTGTGGTTTGGATTTAGCTGATTACCCCAGAATGCTAAATGCATCTGAAGGGTAAAATCAGTAAGTACAAATATTTAAGGGTTTTTAAAAAAATTCTGCTGTTCTACAGTAATTATATTGACCCAAACTGTCTTTTAAAGTCATATCAAGGTAAGCATCTGTATTACATTTTCTTTTCATATTCAAATAAAAGAAGGGGTGGAGGAATTTTAAGCTAATCTTTACCTTTCAATCAAATCTGTCTTTAAGAAATATCCCAATGCTAGTGCTTGAAGACGTAAATTTTTTTTGGGTTTATTGTCATTATACTTGAAGAATTTTATAACAAATATGCTGTAGCACAGTCCACACTAATTCCATAAATGAGAATAGGTGATCCAGCTGCTATTAGGGTTTAGAGAATGCTGTTAACATTGGGGGAGAACAGTTTGATTTGGTGGTCAAAAGTTACCTCATTTCCTGAGCAAAAGCGGTATGGAATTTTAGCTGCATGTTTTAATGCACTGTCTGTCCAGTATGGCTTAGGGATTCAACTTCAAGGGGTTTCAGCAATTCCGTCTTGATTTTTTTTACTGTAATTTAGGGCACATTTGATGAAAAAATGGTAATTAAGGACAACTCTGGTCCCAGGACCATGGGCAGGGGGTGGTGCGTGGAATGGGTTGCTCTGCTTCTGATTCCAGCCTGTGCTCTGTGCTGCCTGACACCTAGTGAAATGATTTGCATAAGCCCTGTGTAAAGTGTTTTTATGTTCTTCTTCACGAAAAGCATTATCTAAAGGCTAGCTATCCATTATTTTGAAAAATTTGTCACAGCTGTATTGAAATATAGGGAGGCATTTTCTGTTGGGAAAAGAACAAGGAGGACCTCTGGGGAATCAAGCATTTCAACTCTTTATCAAGCACTGTAAATGTGCAAATGAGGCAGTCACACTGCTGTGTTATAAACTGTCAGTCTTCTACCAGAGTGGGGAGAAAAAATATATGATACAAAGATAATAGACTATCTTGTATTTCAGCATGGCTTTAAGGTATCAGGTATGAAGTCCAATTTGCACTCATTTTAGAATAAATAAGCATGAATCCTCTTGTGGTATTAATGGTGGTGTGTCTGGCCACCTAACAAAAAGATAGTGACTAAAAGAATGAGCATAGTTACCAGGCTTTCTCCTCTCAAACACATGAAACAATATTATTGAAAAAAATCTGCTCATTTTATAACCTTGTGTGAGCAGCGAAGTTAATATTTCAATGAAAATATTTTTTCTAAAGCAATGTTAATGTCATCCTCCCATTTACCTATGCACATCTCTGCCCCAAAAAAAAAAAAAAATCCCACCTCCATTGTAAATTAGATTACTTCATCCAAGCTTTTAAGAATAATTAGAATAGTTTCTCTACTTCCTATCAGTTTTAGGGTTTCTTGCAGGTTGTGTGATTCCAATGATATTTTCTCACTTTTTCCTCTTCCACTGAGAACATTTGTGAAGTGAGTATTCATCTGCTCCAAAGATGCTCTTGCTTGTGGCTTGGTCTTGCTCTCAGAGGTTGCTCAGTGAATGGAAATGGGAAGCGTTCACAGGATTTTACTGACTGTAACAACTGCTGTGACAGCTGTTACAGACTCACTTATGCCTCCTCATTTCTCTGACCAGTCTTAAATAAAGAGATGCAGTAGGGGCAGTCCTCTGTGCAGCTGACCCTTCTGCTTTACCAAGTTCCACAGGTGCTCATCATCTGGAAATGACAGAGGAGAAACAGCTAGGAGTTCTAGGTAGGCTCAATGTGCCAGTGGGAGACAGCCATGAAAAAAATGTGATATAGAATGTGTCTGGAGAGGCATTT